TATATACTGTATAGCTAATCTTTTCTATTTGGATTGAATTGAATCAAAACCATTATGAATTTTACAATTACAACACTTTATACACTAATTGCGTTGTTTATTTATCCTAATAATGAACGCCATGAACGGCCTGATGGATTAGTGTTCAGGGCAGCTCGAGAAGGAAAAATAATTGCCCTCATCAATAATGAACGAAAGCATTGAAAGGCTTGTCTAATTGAGCTGCATCTGCGCTGTTTAAGAGTTTCTGTGTGAAGAGAGTTTGGTGAGTGAAATTAATGATGTCACTTCCTTTGGCTGGAAACATGCATTTGCCAAATAGATGGAGTAGATAGGAAATAATAATAATAATATATTCACCTTCCTGTCGTGTTTGGGTCAAATCTGACCGATTTACAACTTAAAACATACAACTCATATTTCATCTTTACCATTATCATCTCGCTCAAAAATGACCAACGTATGACTAGTGCTAGTTCTTTGTCCATGTTTACAATCTATACCCTCAGTCACTATTCCCTATGTTAGTACACTAATATAGTCCAATTAAAGAACTGAATGAAAATTCGAGCACTCAGTCCACAGGAAAATATACCGTTTTGTTTGTGCTTTGCTGTTTGATAAATCATTCAGATGGATTGAAATGTCAATTTCTTTGGTCGGACCCTGTGATAGTTATTTTAGCGAGCTGTCTATTAATAACAAAACAACTTTACACATTAGAGCTATACAAGGTTGTGCAAGTACACATTTAATTTGAATGTGAATACGAATTCTCTATGTGTGTGTTGTGTGTCAGCCGGGGTCAGAGTGGGTGGACGGCTGTCAATCATGTCGCTGCGTCAATGGCCAGAAACACTGTCAATCAAACTGTCCTCCGCTTCACTGCTCAGAGGTAAGAGATGTGCTGTTTGTCTTTTCAGATTGTTTACAGGGTTCCCAAAGGTCCTAAGACTTCTGGAATATCATGGAATTTTAAAGAGATCCAACATTAAAGAATTACTACAGTCAACTTAAAATTTGGGGAGAAAAATTATAAATTAAATCTTAATAAACAGGAAAAATCAAGAGAAACATGAAAATAAATAACATTTAGTTGAAATTTTGTAGTCTTGTGATTTTTTTGCGATAACTCATGTGCAATAGCTACAACACAGTGGCTCAGTGGTTAGCTCTGTTGCCTCACAGCAAGAGGGTTCTGCTGGTTCAATCCCTAGCTGGGTCAGTTGGCATTTCAGTGTGGAGTTTGCATGTTCTCCTCGTGTTGGCTTGGGTTTCCTCCGGGTGCTTCAGTTTTCACTCGAAGTCCAAAAAAAATGTGCTATAGGGGAATTGATGAACTAAATTGGTGTTTGGGTGTTTCCCAGTACTGGGTTGCAGCTGGAAGGGCATCTGCTGTTTAAAATGATGGCGAGCCCTGATAAATAAGGGATTAAGCCGAAGGAAAATGAATGAATGAATGAATGAATGAATGAATGGAGGAGGGAGGGAGTGAGGGAGGGAGGGAGGTGACGCTGACGACAGGGGTGCAGATCCAAATGCAGGTTGATTGGGAAGGCCAGGTAAGCAGTGGTCAATACAGGGGCAAACAGATGTATAAGGGCAATCTAGAGTCGTAGTCAAAATTACAGGCAGATGGTCTCAAGGCAGGCAGCAAACAGGATTAAACAAATAAACGGGGCGAGGATCAAAAACACGACTAAGGAAAACGCGTGGTTGTGTCACTAAAACAGACAAGACTAGAGTGGAGTTTGTGCTGCTGAAATAGTGTGTGTAATCAGTCCTTGACAATCCTCCGGTGGTGTGTGTGCAGTCAGGATCAGGAAACATGTGTGTGTGAGTGGAGTGCATGTATGGAGTTATAGTCTATAAATGGCGGATTTGTAGTCTGTTAGCGTGTTTTAGATTGCTGGTGATCGTGACAAAAGGAATGAAAGTTCTAGAAATACAAATTTATTCATATAAAAGTAAAAGAAATTTTAAAATGACTTAGTAAAGTACAAATCCTGAAAAAAAACCCTACTCAGTTACAGTCATTTGAGTATTTGTAATTTGTTCTTTGCCTCCACTGGTCCTGGGTCAGAGCTGTGTACATCAGCAGTGAGTAGTGTTGCATCAGAATGAGTGCAGTATTGGTAAAGCGAGCTCTGCAGATGCTGGAAATAGACTGATTGTGTCCAGCATCAGAGACTGAGCACAAAAACAGCACATAACTGGAGAAAAGAAAAGCTAAAAATACCTCCTTCAGTTTCATCCGCTGATTTCAGAGCAAATTAAATGAGGCGTTTTGCATTTGTGCGACTGGAGTAAATGTCACACCTCGACCATGTTAATGCCAAGCTAATTATCACACACGGAAATAAACACACTGCAAATATAATTTACTTGCTAAGAGTTTTTGTCTTTTTTTCCAAGTACAGAAATCTAAAAAGTCTTAAATCAAAAAATATTTTCTTGGCAAGCAAAACATTTTGTTTTGTTTTCAGAAATAATGTTAAAATCAAGTGAGTTTTTTCTTAAAACAATCAATGGGGTAAGTAAAATAACCTTATTTGAAACAAAATTCTTCATTGGCAGATTAGCTTGCTTGTTTTAAGGAAAAACACTGAGGGCCCTATCATACACCCGGCGCAATAAGGCGCAAGAATGTGTATGGCGTGATTTGTTGCTATTTTCAGACCAGCGCAACCGTAATTGTCAAGTTTTGCGCCACGTTGTTTAAATCAGAATGAGACTCAGAATCAGTTTCATTGTCAGGTGTGCTTTACACACACAAGGAATTTGTTTTGGCTACAGAAGCCTACGGTGTAAACATAAAGTGACAAGAGACCAGAGGTGGGTAGTAATGAGTTACATTTACTTCGTTACATTTTACTTTTATTGGGCAATAAAAGTCTCGCATTAACGGAGCATGTTAACGACGATACCGGCCCACCGCTATATATATATATATATATATATATATATATATATATATATATATATATATATATATATATATATATATGATGTTGAAAATAATATATACAACTAGAGTTTTCTTGTTTTGACACATTACAGTTGTAACCACGGGGAGTGACACTGACAACAGAAGGTAGGATCCAAATGCAGGTTTATTCACAATTAGGCAAGCAATGGTCAAATCAGGTGTGATCAGGTATGTGCGGGCAAATCCAGAGTCGTAATCAAGGTACAGGCAATAGGTCGTAAGGCAGGCGGCTAAACAGGATAACAGGATACAAAAGGCTAGGGTCTAAGTATGGATAAACAAGACAAGGAGAAACGCGTTGAAATGTTACTGATACAGCTAACAAGACTCAGCAACGTATGTGGAAAAGAGGGGTTTAAATAGTCCAAATAATCATTGTGTGAGTGGCTTCAGCTGTGAGAGTGCAATCAGTGTGGATCTGGAACCGGTTGTGTGTGGCATGACTGGGTGTTGTAGTCCATAACATGGCAGATATGTAGTTAATGAGTGTGAATGTTTGTGTGGAATGTTTGTGTGAATGTTTACCAGTGACATCTGGTGGTTGTTCGCTGGTAAACATGACAACAGTATGTCGCTAAGAAATAATTACATTAGATTTTTTTTTGTGGCAAGCATTAGAAATAATTTTTAGTGTTTAGCCCTGTAAAAGTCTACAATTTCAGTCCTAAAGGGGATTTAAAAAGTCTTAAATTTAACTTGATGAAACCTGCAGAAACCCTGGAACAGCGATACACCAATATCTTTACAGATGAAAACAATTAAAGGATTAAAATGTTGCAAAAATGATTATGCCTTCTTCACCTCAAGGGACTTTTTCATTTTATTTATAACAATCTGCATTATTATAATGTTATTATTATTAGTAGTATTATTTATTAAATGCAGATTTATATTTGTTTTAATAAAACTTTTTTGACCACACTTTGTGACTATTATTCATTTATTCATTTGCTGGAGATTAGAACTGAATTTAGAAATTATTTTGAAACAAATCTTTGATCTTAACAAACTAAATTAAATATGTGGGCTAATGGATGTGTTCAGTGGAGTGTGTTTCCACTATTTCCTCACTCCACCAAAGTAATGGAGTAAAGTAAAGAGAAAGTAAAGAGGCTGAATGGAGGAGGCTCGTTCTTTATCCTCGCGCTGCAGATGCTCTGTTTAACTGTTTTCTCACTAGCGAAGCGTTCAGTTTTTACACTTACAAAGTCTGTCATGTAAATAACAACTGCACCATGGAGTGACTCTTAAAGAGAATGTGAGATGAGACTCTGATTGGTTTAATGCACGTTATGCTCAAAACACACCCAGAACTCATTAAGAGAATCAGCACAGCCCTGTTAGACCATGCGCTAGATTTATTAATCCTTAAAATCGCACTCGCCCTTAATGCTTTTGTGCCATGTGCTTTAGACTCTGTGCCTAGATCGTTAAAATAGAGCCCTTAATTTTAACATTGTATTTCTGAAATTCGACAATGTTTTTCGCCTGTCCAGAACTGCTTCTTGATTTCACAATTGTTAGATATTTGTACTAGAAACAAGACAAAAAATCTAAGTAGGAAAAGCATGTTTTTGCAGTGTGGTGGTTTTATCTGTTGAAAACGTATATACTGTAAGTCTTGACGTAGGAATCAATGCATTCCCGATGTAGGCAGTGTACATTATTTTCCTAATAATTCAACAGCCTGTCATCATTTTCTCCCTGCATAACCTCAAGCTTCTCTGTGTCATACTCTGCGTTGGCTGTAAGTGTGTGTGTCTGTGAGCGTTTCGAAGCAGGTCTCATATGGAGTAGTATATAAACCATACTGTCAGCATCCGTCCATCTCCAGCAGACGATCGAGTCACGAACAGCAGCTATTCTGAGCTCATATCACCTGTCGCTCTGTTTTCTGCTTTCCAGGGGGAAGTGAAGGTTCTGGAAGCGGGCGACTGCTGTCCGGTGTGCCGCATGCAGTTTCCAGGTACAGTACAGTCACAAAACACACACTAATAGGGGAAGAGTGAGCCCGGAGAGGGAGATGTTTGTCAGCAGATCTTCCATGCGCCACTGACTATTGATGTAGCGCACATCATTAAGCAGACCGAAGCGCTCACAGCTTCACTTTTACTACATTCTGGAGATTGCAGGACAAAATGATTCATGCAGATTTGAAAAATGCTGACGGGAAAACTTTCAAATGGAGCATTGCACACGTTAAGCTTTATGAGTAACAGTGGCATTTAAATGATACAATGAGGAAAGCACAAAATAAAATGTGACTTAGTTGAAATCAGAATTATTAGC